CTGGTACAAATATATACATCTGCTGTCAACGAAAGCAAAGGATTGATTAAGAAACCAAACCATTCCACCAGCCACTTCTCCAGTAGCCCCAAGCACCAGTCCAACAATTCAAGCAAGCAACAGCATGGTCATTTGAAGAGCATATATTCTTGTCACCACAACTCAGAAAAATGTTTGCGATTTGAGAAGAAACAGTGCTGCTCTCAGCTAAACAATGTTGATCTCTTAGCCACAACCATACACTCCCCAGCCCGAAAGACTGAAATGCGAACTTCCCCTGTCCATCATTGGATCTGCATCACACCTTGCCCTTTTTGAATTTCTAGGTTCTTCAAGAATTGAGGGTGTACAGTACCACGATGAAGTTTCAAATCCCTGAGCCATTTCCAAGAGCATTGCCTGCAGCTCCTCCATGCTGTAACTCTTGTCCTGTGCGCAATTCATGAAGATGGTATTAAAAAGATAAGCATACCGATCAACCAAGCTATACATTTCAGAAAAAAAATTGGCATAAAAATTGCCACAAACAAGATTTCCACAACACCCAAATGATATAGATTCCTTTTCCCTGTCATTAAGGGTCAGCTAATTTTAGAATGTCGAATTCAATCCTAGCGAAAGGATGCTTCAGAACTTGGGTGTTTTAGCATCCTGTCCAGACAGCACAAAGTGCCAGCAGCGGGACATCAGTCCCTAGACGGTGGCTTTTGACATGAAGATTTCCGAACTACTCCCCCCCACATTCTCTTCCACCATAATATTAGAACTCTAGTAATGATGATAAGAAGCAAAATTCTTATCCACCATTTTTTTCTCTCCTACAACCAAAACCAATACTTTCATAACTTTCCCTGCTCTCAAAAGGAAGGATGCTTCTCAAGGCACCAATTTTGTTCACTACAAAGATAGATTTACTTTTATAACAAAACAAAAAAGAATGGATTGGTTTCTGATTCATTTAAAGATCTGATTCCTATTAATGCTCTACAGCAACATAACCAATTTTGTTTTCTACAAAGATGAAGTATTTTTTATTACAAGAAAGGAAAAGGAGAAATTGATTTCTGATTCATTCCAAGATCTGATTTTTAATGCTCTAAAATATACTTGCACTTTACATTGCAATGGGTTGATCACAAGATTCAGCAGAGAAACTATAAATTTACAAATTGGGAAACTCAATGAGTAGTATAGAAAAAAAATCATAGATCAAATTCATACCTGTCTCTTATCCTGGGCCATGAGATTCAATATTTCTTGCACAAAATCAGAAAGGCCCTGACAGACACAAGCAACCAAACAATAATCAGCCGATGCGAGCGTTAATGAGAAAGGAAAACGCATTGTTGAATTAATGCAGTGGATTAAAACTAGAAACGAAATTCAATTGACGCCCATCACCTACCTCATCTTCTTGGTCTTCAGGGCCATATAATCCTGCATCATACATTGTTCTTTTTCTATGATCGGATAACACTGTCAAAACGAAGCATCAAATAATTAACGATTCAAGGAAACAAAACTTCTCACAAAAGCATTCAGTAGACAGCTGCTTTCAGATAAGTTTAATTAGTTACCCGCATAGGCTTCTTGAATTTGCTGGAATTTACGTTTGGCTTCACCCAAAAGCGAAGGTGTTCTTGTCAACCTATCAGGATGCCATTGCTGCACCAACAAACAACCACCCATAAGTAATATACCACGCAACTTCAAAAGAAATATTAAACCAAAATCAATTGACACACACCATAGCAAGCTTGCGATAAGCACACTTTATTTCATTAATAGAAGACTCAGAACTAACACCAAGAATGCTGTAATAAGACGGTAACCCTTGCTGCTGATCAGCCCCCATCAAAACTTGTAAGCTAGCCAGCCAAGCTCTCAGAACGTATTCCACTTTACCGTAGTCTTGGGAGCGTTGGGCTTGTATTTGTAACAAGATGGTGACTTCATGAGAATTGATGTTCGAACACTTATATATACATAGAAAATTGGAATAAGATTGTAGTACTAGAAAGTATCAAATTACGTGATATGGAATGTTCGAGAAGGCTGGCAATGAAAAATATCTTGAGTATGGAAAGTTCAGGAACAAAGATATTACTAGCTACAATCCTGGATTTTTTTGGGCTTGGAGGCTTCTCGTGTTCTCTGTTGATTTGTTTTGGACGGTGATGATGAGATGGCTACTGGAGTGATATTTTTTCATTTTTCAAGAAAAAGAGAGAGCACAGGTTCTGACACGTTTGCTTTTGAAAAATCAGGCTAATGATTGACCTGGCAACTTCCCCGGGCTTGCCACGCTTTGTACGGATTTTTTACATTCTAACATAATTTAATAAAAGCTTTGAAAAATACGCATAAATTAGAAAGATAATATATTTAAACACGTCCGTGTTTTTAATATCTATTTTACAAATATATGTTTAATGCAAGTTAATTAACATGTATAAAAATTAATATAATATTTTATAAATATATAATGAGATTTAAGATTCAATAATTTTATAAAATTCTCTAGAAAAAAAAGTACTCCTCCATAAAAGAAAAAAAAAGTAGGCCTATAAATAAAAATATTGAGAAATTAATACAAGAAACAAATTGATGTTGCGATCAGAAGTGTTATTAATTTTGGTTTACCAGAAAATCTTAAATTTGATAATAATAGCGTTTAGTTAACATATTGAGTCATGCCATTTATATGAAAAGGTAAATTTTTTTAACTTAAAATTAGAGATTAAGAGCATTACTATTTTCTTTGGTTTGCCAAAATTTACCTTTTTATTGTTGTTAAGAAGCAGTTATGATAAACAAGAAGATATTTAAGCACAAAATCCAATTTTTTATAAAAAATATCCCTGTTTAAAATGAAATAAATAAATATTTGGATGAATCTCTCGTTAATTACTTTTATAAATATACTTTAATATGCTTAATTTTTTAGTGCTTTTGAATACATTAGCGTTTATATTTATAGAAAAATTGTACCTCTAGGTATTCTAATCTAACTATCTAATTAATTAAAGATTTTAATAAATTAATCCAACACAAATTATTTTTTATCAAGATTTTTTACTTAGACCAAAATTCTTAATGCAAACACCAAATGCAAACACCAAGTAATCTCACAAGCTTTATAAACTATTTGAATTTAAGAGATTTTATGAATAAATCAACGATTTAATTTTTACTTTTATAATGAATAATCTTAATAGTTCTATTTTTATGAGATCTTTTAAAAAATAAAACTTCATATTAATATGTTTGCTTTTACCATGTAGAATTGGATTTTTAGAGAGTTTAATTGTTGAGTTATTGTAATAAAAAAAAATACTATACGACCTTATCTCTTGAAATTAATTTCTTTAAGAATTTTATTCAACTAAAATGAAAATTGATTGCTTCTTTAAAGACAATGAAATAACTCCAAGACCGAGTTTAAAAACATACTCAAAATGCTTTTTCTATCATATTAATCTCCTGTGTAGTCATTATTAGTAAACCTAATAGAATTTGATTGTTCTGTTTTTTCTAGAATAACCTAAACTCTATAGAACATTTCATGGACTGAAGTATTCTTTTAGCAGTCAAAAGATAAAATTATATTGGATTCTTTATGTATCTATTTATAAGGCTTACTGAAGACATTATATTTGGCTTTATTGTTGTTAAATATATTAAAGCCCTTATAATTTGCTAGATAAGAGTACCATTAACCTTTTTTTCCCTTCATGATTCTTATTTGATTTCAAACTAAACTCACTTGAGATACTCAACATTATTACTTCATGTTCAAAATTTAGCTACGTAAAAAGTAACATTTCAACTAATAATAATTTTTTTGGTGATAAGATTATATAGTTTATAAGCTTTTGAATGACCACTGTTACCAAGAAAAATTCATTTTTTTCTTTTGTCATTAAGCTTTTTTTTCTTTGGAATTGGAATATGGGTATAGGCTAGGCATCTAAAAATTCTAAGATGATTAATTGCCGGTCTTTGTCCACTCCAAGATTTTTTTGACGTCTTATCTTGAACAAAAAGTTTAGGATTTCTATTCAAAATATAAATCTTTCAATTTATTATTTAAAGCCAAAAATCCTTTGGGAGGCCACTTCTTGTCAAAATACTTCTCACCATATCCATAATAGTATATTTTTTTTTTATAAACTCTATTTTATTGAGGTATATAAGTTACAATAAATTGCTTTTTAATTCCATGTATTTTATAAAAATTTGCAAATTCATACGAGTTATATATTTTATCATTATTCGTTCGAAGAACTTTTATTAGAAAGTTAGTTTCATTCTTAACAACTACTTTATATCTCTTAAAGGCTTCAAAAACTTCAGATTTTTCTTGTAAAAAATAAACTTAAATCTTTTAACTATAATCATCAATAAAAGTGATTATTATCTTTGACATTCATCAGACAATGGATTTATTAGCCCACAAATATTGAAATGAATGACTTTTTTTCTTCAATATCAATTGTTAAAAATAAAACACATAAGCATTTAGATGAACCTCCTAAGCTTTATTGATTAATCACTTTTATAAACACACACTTCAATATACTTAAATTTTGAATGCATTAGTCTTTATATTTATATAAAAATTGCACCTCTAGCTATTTTAATCCAATTAAAAATCTGACTATGTAGTTAAATAAGAATTCTAATAAACTAATCTAACACAAATCATTCCTGATCAAGGATTTCTATTTAGTATCTAAGATTCCTAACTGAATGGGTAACTTAATAGGTTGGGGTTTTCAATATATTATACCATTGCTTTATATCAAGATTGTCATTTTAAGAAAATCTTTAGTAGTATATTAGTTAATGTAACAAAAATATAACTTCAATTGTTCATTGGGAAAAAAAAAAGAAGTATCAAGACATAAAATTGCTTAATATTACTATTTGAATTTGAATATGAGTTTTTAGAATACAAGTCCTTAAATTTAACAAGAAAACTTTAAAACAAGCTTATTTATTCATTGAAAAATGATACATGGTGAATTTTCACCATCTCTTATTCCCATTTAGCACACCAAGTTAGTGACGGAGCCATATAAAAGTAAAAGAGAGCAATTGTCCCTTTAATTTTGTTATTATTGTTTTGAATTTTTTTTTAAAAATAATCATAGATTTAATTGTTTTGAATTAAAGGTTATATAATTTCTAATTGAATTGGTTACGGTATGGAATTAAATTTTTCCATGAGATAAACAAATAAATAATTTAATTGTTATCGGTAAGTAAAAATAGATATTTGTAGAATAAAAATTGTTTTAGCTTGAGATTGGTTCTTTTTATGATGTTAATTTCCTTGAGCCTTCCTATAAAATAATCATGATAGATGATTGAATAATTCATATTTTATTTATTTTTTCATTTCTTTGGTTTTCGTGAAAAAAATTTGTGTTTTGCTGGAGAAAAATTAACACGTGCGTACAAGCTTGATTTTATTCAATGCAAGTTGGTATTTTTCTTAAAAAAGAAAAGAAAAGAATATTTTTTGGTTTTTAAAAATGATTTGTCATAATAAATTTAGACTATCAATTATAATCCATATTCATGCATTATGTACAGCATAATATATGATAATGAGATGTGATTTGAATTTTAATAAATTAATATGTATTTGATTATGAATTTTATATGAAAAATTTATAATTATTATATAATTTAACTGAATTTTTTATTATAAAAATTCAAAAAAAAAATAATTTTTTTTTTATTTTAAAAGTATTATTAAATTAATTTTGCTTTACATGAGTATGTTTGTTTTAAATTGATTTTTAATATATATTTACATAATATAATATTTATTAATTATTTATCCCCTTATTTAAAATACTCTAGTTTCGCTAGTGCACCAAGTCCTCTTGTGAGAACTAGACACACTCTTCCCTTCCAACCTTACACATTTCCTTCGTTCTCATATGTATGACATTTGGTTGCTCATTTTGCCTTCGTATGCATCAAGAAAACTCCTCTGAAGAATGATGTTCAAGACATTAAAATAAGAATCATACAAACCAATTCCACCGGAGGAAGACCTTCCTCGAGGGGAGATCATAAATGGTGCGCCCGTGCTGTCATGGTAAGAAGTGGACCTTCCCAAGGAAGATGCTATGAATCATAAAGATGGCGTTTGATATCAATTTAATTATCATATTAGAAAAAAAAGATTGTGGCCCTTAACCACTTCGGAAACCATCAATGGTCGTATGGATCATAAGAGATAAATTATTAGCTAATGCTTTTTTCACAGAGTTGCTAACAACAGCTCCTCTCATCACCCACTCCAAGACTTAGATTATTGGTTGGATGATTAATCCATGTCAATTTAAAATTAAATTATTTTAATATTAAAACAATGTTATTAAAAAAATATTTTTTAAAATATCAAAATAATTTTTGATTAAGTCACTTGAAATGCGAGTTCTTCTACTAAGTTAATTAGATTAATTTTAATTTAATTTTTTAAAAACATTTAAACACAAAAATTTTTGTATATTTAATAACATTATAGTTTTAGAACATAATAAAGTAATCTCGGACACAAAGAAGTTCATATAAGATGAAAGGAAACATGACAGAGATCTCATCTTCCAGCGTCTTGGTCTTCCATCTTTTCGCTAAGATTTTCTCTTGATCGAAACTTCACAAATTAACTGAGAATTATTCAGTGGAGAAGCCTTCAAGTGTCTTGGCTCGAAGACGATTTCTGTTGCTTCAGGCCTTTGAATTAGTTGCAATGGAGAAGCCTTCAAAACTTAAATAGGGCGTTAAATTCCATGCAAACACATGCCAAATAAGTAGTCCTTTGCTTGTGCCCTCCATTCGTCATGTGTTCGACCTTAAGGTTATTAAACTTGTATAACTATCGATTTATCATTTTTAGGCTATGTTTATTTGTTTTTGTATTTTAAAAATATTTTTAAAAAATTTATTTTTTTTATTTTAAATTAATAATTTTTTAATATTTTTAGATCATTTTGATCCACTAATATAAAAGATAATTTTTAAAAAATAAAAAAAATCTAATTTTAATATATTTTTAAATAAAAAATATTTTAATAAACAACTACACTTATATTCTTAATTGTTCTTTTGGATAAAAATTAGTTTGCTTTTACTTTGCCTTTTTATACGAACCAATTCCCAAAACTTTTCCCATATTGTGTTGTTCTTGCAAATGTTAACAACCATGTTTCTCTCAAAAAGAAAAAAATAAAATTAACAAGATAAGTCACATTGTTAGATAACTTGTAGTTTTTCTCATTCAAATTTATAACTTAATGATCAAGAAACTCGTGAGAAAAAGAAATGCTAAAAATTGTCTAAGGTCTTTTTTAAGGTTTATAACCTCATGAATGCATGCATGCCACTACTACAAAAGGTATATTTTTTTTTTATGTTTATCTATAACCATAATAGAATGGCAAAACAAAATAACACCATCTGTAATAACTTCAATTTCAAAGATAGGATTTAAAACTTCCTTGTGTCCTTTAAGCTATTTTGTCTTTATTTAAATTTACTATATACTCCTTCAAAATCTTAGTACTAGACATAAAAAGAAATTCAAAACAACCCAAAATTTTTATGCAGTACAATAAAAAATCTAAATCTTACGTGATTTTCAAATAATTTGTCCCTTGTACATAAAAGAATAGAACTCTTCTTTTGTTCAAGTAAAAATTAGTTATTTCACTAGTGTTTTATCGCTGATTTGATAATATTTTTTATAAAAATAAATAAATATGCAAGTTTTTAAAATGTGTTTTTTAAATAAATATTTTAATTAAAAATTAAAAATATTATGCATGCATTTAATTAAATATATTAAGAACTATATGTGCCAATAAATACAAAAAAACAAAAACAAAGTGTTAGCTTGTCTATTCAACTCGTTTCGTTATAAGTCAAATAATTTTTTTCTAATACAAAAAAATAATATATAAGTGTTATTAATATGTTTTTTTATATTTAATAAAAAATATAACCATAAATTAAAACGTTGATGCTATGCGTTAATAAAAACATGTAATATCTCAAGTTAGTTTTTAATATAGCAAAACAATAGAATAATGTTTCAATTACTATAGTGAAATACTGTTTTCTTAGTATTTGTATAATAATTTAAAAAAATATAAATAAAAAATTACAAATATATATATATATATATATATTGTGGTTTGTTAGGGCATGATATTTTGTTAATTTGATTTTGTTAGTTTGATTTTTTTAATTTAAAAACATTTATCCTCAACCCTTCTCATTGAAAATCTTATTCGAAAAACTATGATATTTTCATTATTTTTTTATCAACTGTTTATCATTTTTTGAAAAAAAAATTTGCACATATTTAATATAAAAGTTTATCAGGAAAAAAATATATATCATGTTATGTTCAAGATAGCCTATTTTATAATAATAATAATAAGAAGAAGAAGATTTGCAAATAGAATTTTCAAAATATTTCACGTTACAAATAGATTTTTTTTTTTCTAGCACGTATTTGATAAGAAGAAGTTCATTATCATTTCTTTAAATTTTGGTTTTGTTCCTAAAAATTATCTTTGTATTTCCATAAATGGACATATATAACATCTAGATGATAAATTCATCAGATCTGATTTAAATTTTTATGTTTGGAACAAAATACTAAACTATATAATTGAATTCAATTATATTGTTTAAAATTATTATAAAAAATTGAATTAGCAATTTTGACTATTTTCCCTCAATTTAGAAATTATTTTTGTTATATAAATTTTTTTGTTATAAAAACCCTTATATTTATTTAAAATGACATGAAATATAAGCATTTTAAATAAAATACAAATAGACTTATTTCATATCAAGTTTAATATTTGTTGAAATTTTTTTCAAGAAACCTCAAAAGTCCAAGAAATGAGAAAACTCACCAACCCTGGTCTATCTTAACCAATTTCCAGGAGCAAAATCAAGGCCGAAAAACAAGTTAAACAACTTTAGCAATGTTTCAAGACCCTTATTAAATAAATAAAATATATTTATCAACTATATTTTATAAAATAAAAATCGCTACTATTTAATTAACAAAATGTCTCATATATGAAATAAAAATTGTCCAATATCTCACTTGATGATGTACATTAAAAATTAAAAAAAAATTAAATATTTTAAAAAGCCATGTTTATAATTTTTTTCAAGGCTACTATACATCGTAAGTCAGCTCTAATGCAGTTTCTTTGAATTTGTGGAAATAAGTGTATCGAAAGAACTTACTTTATTTTTCCTGATACATAAACTTCAATATTTACCTAGATCTATAAGACTTTCTCGCACCTCACATGTAATCGCACTTCCCAAGACCTTTGTTATTAATTATTGTCCTTTAACTCCTGATATTTTTCAAACTTTAGTTTAAAGCACATCCTATCATTGGATATATATCTACGTGCCCATCCTGATATTTTTCAAACTTTAGTTTCAAACTTTTTAGACATTCACCATCTACTGAAGGTCGATTCCACTTCCTACGGGTCAGATTTCCTTTTCAGATCATATATATATATATATATATATATATGCCCAGCTGAAAGTCATAAAGAAAGCTTTAATTATGAAAAAAAGAAAAAGAAATTAACCACAAGGTTGGTTTTATATTATCCACTCAAAGCTTACACCTAACATAGAAAATAGTACATCGTATCATTGCATATAAAAGCACTTCTTTGGATTTATCGAGGGGATCAGATTAATTGGAGGACCTGAAAACCAAATCTAATTAAAGGTACAGCTTTTATGCGTGTTTCCTATATATATGGATCCAAATCCTGTTTAGTAATTTGTTAGACTATTACTTCATGATCACGGAATTTTAATTTTACATAGCGTAGTTATATTTATGGTAATAGTTAATCGATCTGTTTTTGCTGCATCGTGTTGGAGAGCAAAGAAATTCTGAGCTAATCAGGGTTTAATTTTAATTAATGAATAGTCCTAACCATATCCATGTGTTCAAGGTCGAACAGACAACGAAACAAAGGCTAATCTGCAAAAGACTACTCACCTGGCAAGCATAGCATGGAATCCACTAACCCAGTCGTTGGCAATTCCTTGTGAATCTTACATGTTTATTCTTTCCTGGGGAGCTGCATGGCTCCATATGGTACTGAACCCACCTGAAAACAGTGCTCAATTTAAATTACTCATTCAAACTAACCTAAAGCTATAGCATATTAATCACCTTAATATTATTAAGAAATTAATGAAGCTCACTTAAGGATCGCTAAATTTGGCAACAGGATGATCGAAAAGAAGTGCATACCTGCAGCGAGGTTCCTTAGGCCGCAGATTCAAACCCAAGTAGAGTTAATTGTTGGTGTAATATGTTATTGCCCCAGGTTGATTTTTATAGAGATAACAAGCAAAGAATCGGCAGGGTTGAATCGTGTGCTCTTGTGTATCCGCTGCCTTCGACACGTGAGAAGCTTTGACCAACGGATGAGACATCCTTGTTCGAAAAGAGGCATGTGTTTTAACCCCCCAGGCAACCTAACTCAAGAAATTAAATGATTGAGTAATCAACACTATTCAAAACTCAAGAGAGAGGAGATAGAAATGAGGATACTTGCGTTAAAAAAGAAGCTAAGCTAGCTAGAGGGAAGCGATCAAGGTTAGTTGTGCTCGTGTGATTCTTTGAAATGCTGATAGAGGAAAATACCATAGATTGAAATGATCCTACTTTCAGCTACCTTCATGACCCATTTGCTTTAAATTCTTGCACGTACAACTAAGAACTTACTAATGCATGTGCTCTCTGTGACAAAATTAGTAAATCTGGTAGTGGCTTATCTAATATAAAAAAATAAAATAAAAACTTGTATAATGATACATGAAAAAACTATACAAATATTTTATACAATATATGTATGGCTTCATCTCTCTAAACTTAAGAGTTTTGAATGGCAAGAAACCGACCAAAACTCATATTCGTAAGATTTATTTTTCTAGATTCTATATTTAATATACGATTTAAATATAGTTTAAGAAACATTTAAGCTCAATGAATACTAATAATTTTTTGTCACCTATATAAAAATTATACTGATTTAAACTTCCAAGTGTTTTTCATGTGGATACCAAGTACTTCAAATTCAATTTTATTGGTCAGGTAAATCGCCCCCATATTTTTTTAGCTGAGTATATCTTCCACCCCTTATCAAGATGTACATGCATTCGTACGATGGCAATGTATGCGTTTAGAAATCTATAAGCATAAAAATAAAAAATATTATATCTACCTTTCTCTGCTTTAGCAGCTGTTCTCTTATCACATGGAGTCCCAACTCCCAGCAACTATCCTTTTCAACAATTTATCAGGGAGCCACTACTACTGCGACCAGTACGTGTGGTGGAGGTTGCTGCTAATCCATGTCATCATGGTTATGAAACTCAGTATGGTATAGTGGGTCCTTCTAGTAATTTACTGGTCAAGGGTCCATTGAAATTGAGTTTTATTTAATTATTTTTTAATTAACATAATATTTTATGTATTTAAAAAATTAAAATAATACTGTTTTAATAAATAAAATTAGATTGATTAATTAACCTGTAAATTGATTTACTCAATTGATTATACAAGCTTTAAATTAGATATAATATCATATTGAGTCTTATAATTATGGTTGATATATACAAGATTTCTCAAGTTGATAAAATTATGATGACAATATGTATTAATTAACTATATTACATAAATAAATTTATAAAAATATTGATTTATCTCCAGATTATCCAACAAACTAATTAAAATTTATCGTAAATATTTATTATCAACTATTAACGTTCATACAAATTTATACATGTAAATTTGCAGAAATTACAACTTCATAATAACATTAATAAAAATTAAAACAGACCCGTTAAACAAGCTATTAATTATTTCACCACAACACATGAAATTCAATAATTCAATAAAATTTTAATAATTTACAAACAAATATAATTGTATAAAATTTAAAACAAACCATAACAAGTATAAAATTATATATTCATACTACAAATTTGTTTGAGAAATAACAATAATATATATATATACACTAATAAAATATATATACTAAAAAAATAAAATATATAATTGTAAAGGATTTTTAGTGGTGGGAGTTTGATTAAACAAAGACTTTAAGACGATAGCGACTTCGGTATTTTTTTTCTACTTGCGAAGAAGGCAACTTTGTATTTTTGAAGGACTCTCTGGTCCAAGTAATGTCATTCGGGACCCTTCTCAAATTTTCTATTTAGGGACCATAGAATTGCTCCTCGTTTAGGGTATTTTAAGCTATTAGCACCCATAATTAAATGTTTTGGTAAAATAACATGATTTTAAAAAAAAATTAGTAAAATAATATAATTTGAATTTATCGTGCTTGTAAAACATTATATTAATTAAATATCATGTTTTATAACCACGACTTCATTAAAATATTGGGGTTTTCCGTTACAACTTCACTATATATTACGGGTTATGAACTATGACATCCAATTAAATGTTTAAAAATTCCATTAGCCAAATTTCTACAGCCCAACAACCCAATATCCAAATATCCCCCGTCATCCTCTCTCTCTCTCTCTCTCACTATATATATATATATATATATATATATATATTTGAAATGTTCTTATGAGTTTTATGATGAATTACACCTTGTTTTCATGCCATATAAGATTTAAAGATATTTGCGGGTTTTTTAGAGAGAGAGGCAGAGAGAGAGAGAGAGAGAGGATTATGCGTTTTTGCTCTTTAAAATGGGGAAGAAGGTATATTTCACAGTATATAGTTGCTATTTTAAAGCACGGCATGACGAATGTTGTATTTTAAAATAATAATATTTCATAAATATTATTATTTCCAAGTATAACAAAATTAAACTATGTTATTAATTATATTGCGCTATGCTACTAAAATTTTGATTTTATTGTGCTATTTTTTTTACAAAGAAAATCCCTAGTTTAACCTTACTATGAATTCTTCATATGAGAGGCTAGAAACTTTGGAATTCGCGGATCAATCTGCAACCCACCTTAATCAGGTTAGAGTTAAGTAGTATATTCATCCGAACTTAAACAAGAGAATACCCAAATCTCAACTCATGCCCAAGCACCTACCCAACTCGATTGTCAGGTTTTTCTCATTTACATGCAGGGGTGACCCATCATGTTACGAAATTCACCGTCTGCTTTTCTATGATCGGGCAACTAACAAACTAGATCTCTAAGGTTACAATAAATCATCAATCTAGAGACAAAAGTTATAGAACCATATATGTTTTTGCTGGATCCTTGCCTCCTATATACATAAAAACTAGAAAGATCCCATGTTTTCCCAGCTTAATTATTAACAGAGAGCATACAATTTCAATAAGCTGAGGGGCATTTAGTTGGTGCTAATTAATGTCATGAAATGAAGAGCAACAGCAATACCGTGGTCAGTTCCAAGTAAGAAAAACTATATTACCATCATTGCTTGCTAGTATAAACAAGAATAATATAATATTAATTCTGAGAGTTAGTTCAACTAGTCAGGTTTTTTCAATAATCATGAGTTTTGGTTTGAATTTTTTTAGAGCTACTGAAAACTTAAATAGTTATCAATTTCAAGAATTTATAAAATTAGTTAAGATAAATATAAATTAATCCAGATATTTACATTAATAAAAAAATAATGAAATTTCAATGTTATAATCAGAATCAATCCAGATATTTATATTAATAAAAAAATAATGAAATTTCAATATTATAATCAGAACCAAGACCGAGTTTAAGAATTATTTTGATAATAACTCTAGGTCTCTCCTGAGTAAAAATATTTAAAGATAAATAAAATATATTTATGAATTATTATTTATAAAATAAAGATTGACTCCACTTGATTAACAAAGAATTCAGGTACGAAACGAAAATTGATTAAGAGACATGCATAAAAGATAATAATAAAACATTTATTAAATATTTTTAAAGGACCGTTTATAATTTTATTCAATTTCTCATTTATCTAAAATCAACTCTAGTTGTCATTGAACAATGAAGTCATGACAGGATTGAAACCCTCTCATCGTAACAATGAAAAAGGAAGAGAGATCAGAATGAATCAAAGAAAGAAGAAATTAAACAACTAGGCTCGAAAAATGTAAGCTCTGTATCTTGGTAGACATCATTTTCAACGTTGAATCATCTCATCTACAAGTTATTGTAAAACTTCGTGATTATCTTCATGAACAAACGAATGGTACCAAACAAAAGGGACTCCAACATTCTTTGAGGAAAATCACTAAAAATAAGAGTATTTAGGGGCATATAACATAATCATCCGCACCAGATGATTCACTCCGACCGTAAGGATCAAGGCTGTGATGGCATGGAGAAGGTCCTGACGGCGGCACTGGATCTCGCGCAAGCCGGTTATCAAGCATGTAATAGTAACTTGCATCCCTAATCGGTCTTGTGCATCTTCCTGTGGAGACCAATATTGCCAGGACAATAACGAAGAGAAGAAAAACAAATCTCACGCCCGCCCGCAAAGAAGACATGATCGCCCTTTTTCTCTGTTCTTGCTCAATTACTCTCTGGTTAGTTACTCTTGCTGTCTTACAAATTGAATGAGTACAGAATGTATAACAGAGAGAGATTTGGAGAGGAAGAGATTGCGGGTGAATTAGAATGCCGTTTTTTGTTGGACTAAAAGGGATGGTCGGAAAGTTAATAAATTCGAAAGTGAAGAAATGAAGGGAAGAGTGGGCTATATAATTTGCATCTTTGAATATTAACTTGCCGAGTGAAAGTCATGAGTCGAAACCAAAGCACTAGCAGCCATTTTAGAAACAAGGGAATAATTGATTCTGATATTCCTTAGCTTTCATTTTATACAGCGTGCTATGGGACAGGAGTGCTCTTCAAAGCTCGTTTTCCACCCTGGTATATGTTTTCAAAAAACGAGAGTAGAAATTGAATATATTTATATAGTGTGTTTTGCTACATGAGTGTTTGGATCCCTTAATTTTGATTATTTTTATATTTTTAAAGTATTTTTAAAAAATATTAAAATGTTTTTGTTTTTATTTTTAAAATACTTTTAAATAAAAAATACTTTAAAAAATAACTAACAACTGTTATTCAAACACTATCATAACCTAATACGATGAACCTCCTGTGTCTCTCGTGTGAATGGTTCTCAACTTCTCATAAATTCCCTGCCCATTCAATTAGCTTATGATTAATTTGGTACTTTATCTACTTTTGAATGAGTGATTTTCTTCATTCAGCATTGGTCGGTTGCCTTGATCATGGAAGAAACTCCTTCGAATCTTCCATAGAAGCCCCCACTGCTCATCGTGGACTGAAAGTATTTGCAACTTATTATATGGGCTTATTAAGGATACAGGCCCAAGTCTCAAGTAGAGAAATTAAATAGTTCGAGGACTTGTTTTTATCATAAATAGTTCAAGGACTTACTTTATAAAAGAGAAGGTGAGAGAAGAAAACCATAACCATATTATTGAACTGCAAGATTTTATCTTTTCAAATGTGCAAGAATGCGAAGGATGAGTACTAGTCATGCATTTATCAATCAATCTTTTTTATTTTTTGGAAAAATAAGAGCCAAAATCTAAAACACGATGATGACGAGGGGTTCATGAAGTGGAAGCTGGATATATTTTTGATAAGCGCCGAAAGTTAAGCCCGTCACAGACACAAAATTGGACTAGAGTTGTAACCTTCAATTGGGTTTTTAGAAATAATTCAGAAATGGAAATAGAGAGGGGGAGGGAGAGAGAGAGAGACAAGATAGTGGTTTTGAAAAAACACAATAATTGTTCTTGTGGAGATGAATTTTGCTTCTTAACCCAATTGATGCTGCATAGGTGGAGGGTTGAGGTGCATGTTAAGCCCATCACAGACACGAAATTGGACTAGAGTTGTCACCTTCAATTGGGTTTTTAAAAATAATTCAGAAATGGAAATACAGAGTGAGAGAGATAAAAAATTGTTTTGAAAAAACACAGTAATTGTTCTTGTGGAGATGAATTTTACTTCTTAAACCAATTGATGCTGCATAGGTGGAGGGTTGATGTGCATGTTACTTTGAAGTGCTTCAGGCAAATACACAATTAATGTCTCGGATCATTTTTAGTTCTTCATTAATTTTACATCAGTTATATCCAACTTCAAGGTTTGTTTTGCTGTTTTATTCGAAGAAAAGGCACACTTATTTATTTATTAGTTGGTTGTACTGAACATTGTTTTATTTATTTTAAGTAGTCTGGATTGTTTCAGGCGGATTGCTAAATTGACTGTAACTGAAACCAGTAATCCTGGAATATCGTTTGAGTCGATGATAATAAAACCTCCCTCACATCCTACATATGACTTGAAGGGTGTTATCAAGCTAGCCCTGGCTGAAGATGCCAGGGATCGAGGTTTTGATTCATCCCTTTTTAAATTTTCGTTTTTTTAGTCGATCTTTGTTTTCCTCACAGAAATTTTTTTGAACGAGTTCGATGTTGTGTGTGTTCTAGAAAGTCTGTCTCTTTTGCTTAGTTGAATCCTCAGTTCGCTCGTTCTGATCCATATAGTTTTGACATTTATGTTATGTTGTTGAGAAACTCCCAAAGATGGGTCCTCGATTCCTTGTATAAAGATACTTCTGAAGCAACATTTGTGGTTTAATGCAGGAGATGTGACTTGTTTAGCTACTATTCCTTTTGACATGGAAGTTGAAGCCCGTTTCTTGGCAAAGGAGGACGGCATCATTGCTGGAATTTCACTTGCAGAGATCATATTTCATGAGGTTGATCCCTCGCTAAAGGTATCGATGCAATCACTCTGTTTCTTTTATTGTTGTGGCTTGCACCGTTGATCATTTTTGGCATGGACCTTACATCAGGTGGAGCGGTCTCGAAAAGATGGAGATTGTGTTCGGAAAGGACTGCAATTTGGAAAAAGTCTCTGGTGAACCACTGGAAATTAAGAAAAGTTACTTCGTGGCACTTGAAGTACTCGTTGACGAGTTTTTATCATATTCTTGTTGTTGCTGAAAGATTAGTGCTAAATTTTGTGTAGCAGATGAGCGGAATAGCAACTGTGACCAAGGTTTCTTTATTTCCTAGAATTTGGAAATAGAATCAAGTAATATGGTGCAGTTACTTGCTTCATCATCTTTAATTTAACAAGGATTTTTGGCTATATTAGAGTACGTAACAAGACATGGAAATCATCAAAATGTTCTGTAGCCTGTCTAAATCTAAGTTTTATGGGTTAGAAGTGTAAAAGGACAGTGGTGATCAATGCAAGTGGCCCAAAAACTATAAAACAAATGATTTTGTAGTAAGAATCACTCTACTCATGCTGTTACTGCTGGATGTTTCAAATTGCAGGTTATATTTTGTTAACATGACCACATGCTGTTTCAGATGGATGGATGAATAGAACATCTGAACATGGTTGGTAATATATTGTAATGGATATCAAGGTAGATCAAATGAAGTGTTTTTGGTCCCATGGCTGGGTTACTGAACAGGGGGTAACTATTCCCCTTTCCCATAATCTTTCTCCTTGAATTGTATGTGGGATTTGATACTAGATCTCCCAACACCATGACAATGGATTTACCAACTTATCAAGCCAGCACACATGAACAAGTTGCAATTCTTTTAACCAGTGAATTTCATGTGAAATCCAAAATGGGTTTTGCATATGCAGTTAATTGAATTTCAATCTTGCAGACCTGGAAAATTGGCTCATTATGTTTGTTGCCCTGTGCAAAAGTGCTTATATTGTTCGTGTATCTTACAGACAATGTTTGATGCATCGCACCCAGTGTGCATTTTAGATACACGAAAAATTGCTCCAGGTTTACATTTGGTTGATAAGTGGGTGGTATGGTCCACTTCCTTGCTTGTGCTCCATAGTAATAATCTTTTCATTGGCTTTGTGCATGGATTTTTCTTGACTTGTAACATTCTTTTTTTTTAGGTGCTAATTGGTGGAGGTTGGAATCACAGAATGGGTTTATTTGATATGGTTAAGAAGAAAGATAATCATATGTCAATAGCTGGAGGTATCATAAAAGCCATCAAATCTGTTGATCAGTAGTTAGAACAATGAAACATTCATATGGAGGTTGAGGTAGTTTTTTCACATTTTAAATTTTTCTAGCAGATTTTAAAGGATCAGGAATAGTTTGATAGTGGAAATTAATCAGCAAAACTTTTTGTGTGCGTGCCTTGCTGAATCTTGTTAGTCTTGATTTTTTTTTTTCCTGAAGGTTGAGACAAGGACTCTCAAGGAAGTAGATGAGGTGCTACGTTATACATCTCAAGCAAAGTCATCCTTTACCCGTGTAATGCTAGATGAAATGGTTGTACCACTGCCAAATGGTGATGTTGATGTATCTGTGCTCAAAGATGCTGTGGAGATGATCAATGGGAGATTTGAGACCGAGGTAGCACTTACTATCAGCTATGCTTTATTTCCCTACTCGGTATGTGGTATTTTAGTTTAATCTGAGGAATTTTAATTATATCTAATTTCCCGGGGGGCACTTTTATTAAATTTAACATGTCTTGTGAGGACACAACTCGTGTCTTTGTTCAACAGTCATGTAGAAATCTGTGCAAAACTTCCCATTATTTACGTGATAGATATACTTGACTGTGAGGTTGTTGTGTACTTCTGTCAATAAATTAGCATCTCGTTATAATTTGTAATAATCGTTTTGCTTCTTATGGACGCCATGAATGATCAAGTACGCTGTGTTTATATAACTAGACAATATAAATTCAGAGATGCTCACATATATAGTCGTGTCTCACGAACAGAATTTCAGGAACCGCTATCTAGAAGTCCTTATCTGTGTGAAACAATACTCTTTCTCATGTCCCGCAACCAAAATACAGTTTATCGTGATGTCCTCTACGGAAATATGCTCCCTCTGCTTGATTTCTGATCCCCTGAATAGACAGAATATAGTGGTTGCAATCGAATAAAAATATGTGTTCAAACTATTTCAAACTGAATAGATACCTTTCATCCCTGTTTTGCAATTTTTTTAAATTAAATAACCCCGTGAAGCAACATGAAACTTGCCATCTGAAATGTTCTGCAAGTCTAGTTGTCATCTCTAGGAGACTGTTCGATTTTCTTCCCCTATACTTATCACAGCCTTTGCCTAGCTGTCTAGGGATCTATTACATCAGCTTGGGGTGCCAGTCTCTCTTCTTTATCCTGCCATGCAAATCTATTTAACTGCATATTGTCATGTTACCTTCAACGCTTTGCTTTGTTGCCAACTGTGATATACTCCATTATTTGACCTGAGCATATGTCAAGCATGCAAGTTTCATATTTACACGGGATGTGAAGCTTCTTTTGCGTTCTTGTTGAGGCCAACACTGATAAAACTGTTTCACGGTAACAGGCACCTGGCAATGTTACTCTTGAAACGGTGCACAAAATTAGTCAGGCCAGTAGCATTTATTTGGAAGTATGATTATAGTTGTTTTTTAAAATGTTTTTCATTCAGAAAAAATATATCATTAATATATTATTCATACAAATAACATCCATGCATTTAAAGTGTTTTTCATTCAAAAAAATATATATTAATATATTATTTATACAAATAACATCCATGTAGCTGAATACTTGATCAAGTTGAATTGGTACAGGTCCCTTTTTTTTTTTAAGTAACAAAACAATAATCTTCATCTCCCATCAGCACCCCAACGGAAAATTCATCATAAATTTAAAATCCGAAAATGAAATTAATACTAAATATATCCCAGAGATCCATCATTATATGCAAGACTCGTATTATTGTGTGACAAAAATTGTCAATAGGCCTTCTTCAAAAACAGAAAATACCACTGATATTACCATGGATTGTTATGGGCCCTGCTACTTTGCATGTCACACAGCCGAACATTTTCTTCTTCATCTTTTCTCTTCTTCTTCTTCTGTTTTTTGTCATGTTTTTTCCCATTCAAGGAGCACTGCGGATAAAAAGCAAGCAAATAGGGTCAGCTTGTCCCATCAGTACCTAAAAAGGTGAACATGGTCACTCATTCTGAGGCACAGTAGGGCATGGATTTTGAAGGAGACCATTCCACTGCAAACCATAGCTGCTGGAATTATCTTGAGTACTTCTTCTCTGATTTGAAATATTCTATCCTTTAACATTTTAACTTTTAACCAGGGTGCAATTATAACATTGTGTGTTTATATATATATATAATTTGTAATTAAAAGCAGCATTTGAATTTGAATTATCACTCTAAAGTAAAAAAAGTTTTAGATTTTTAAAAAACGTGTTTTAATCACAATTCCAAACAAAATTTATTTTTAAATCATAATCACAAAACGACTACAATAGCATATACACATTTAACTTTTTATTTTTGTATTTAAGTTGTTTTTAAAATATTTTTTAAACTATTTCTTTCTTGAAAAAAATCACATTGATTTTTTTGAAGTATTTTTTTAATAATTTTGATAAATTAATATTAAAAATAAAAAATGTAAAAAAATTATCAACATACATTTTTAATAAAAAAAGCATTTTTACAGAAATATCATTCAATGATTATCAAAGACATCTATAATTTGTTTTTTTCTTGATTAATTTAATGCAACACGATGTGCGGGGGCGGAAACAGGGGTGGCTGGCAGGGCCCGGCCCCTGCAAAAGTTTGCCCTTTTAGCTTTAAAATTAGTAAATTTTAACTTTTGACCCCTTTTAATTTTTCTTTTCTAATTTGGCCTTCCCAGCCTAATATCCTTGATGATGCATCGGACGGTACACGTAAGTAAACAAACACATTCTGAGATGCTTAATTAAAACTGTGATTTATAGTGAGAGAAGACTGATTTGTACTTAGGTTAATCGTTACCCCACAAGCACCTCTTTTATATCTATGCCTAACATCTTTGAAAACTGATGAAACAATGGCTTCAGCATGCGCTTTTCCTTCCAGCAAAGCTCGCTAGCAGCCAGCATTGAAAACGATTCCTTTCGGATAATAATTCAACTAATTACATCTAACAAAAAGAGATTTGCTTCTGTCCATTGGTTTTGATCAATCCTCTTTCATTCTCTTATCATCATGCTTGCTTGTCTTTTTTTAAATGTGATTGCGAAAGTGTTTTTTATTTTTAAAAATTATTTTTAAAATTAATATATCAAAACGATTTAAAATATAAAAAAATCAGTAATTTTTTTTAATAATTTCTTGAGAAACATGAATTGACTTGCGTTTCCAATTGCTCATGTACTAGTGAAGCTCTGGTCATAATATTCATGAATTGACTTGCGTTTCCAATTGCTCTTTTACTATAGTGAAGCTCTGGTCATAATATATTTTTTTTCTTTTGTTGAATAGTCCATCGCTTCATCTCAATTGGTAGGGTAGAGTTCAATAGACAGCAGAAAGGGAGAACAGAGGCAGAGGGAGATAAAAAATAATGTCAATTAAAATGGCATAGAAGAATAATTTTCAACAATCTTGATATAAAGGTGGACTGGGCTTCGGGTCACGAAAGGATTCATGTATCCGTAAGTTGTTTTTGTTGAGTCTTGGTGCCCTGCCATGGAAACAGCTTCGGCTAACCCTATTTTAAGCATGTCATATCTTGCTTGCAAAATCACGAAAAGAAAATTGGTTTTGTTCAAGCCTCTGCCGGGAAATTAATAGCCATTACTGCCCTATAGCAAGCCGCTGCCTCGCAATTATTTGGGTTGTGCTAGCCAGCTAGCAGTTGGCGAGGCTTGCTCATAATTTCTTCGTGAATCGTCACAACTGGATTTGGACACTGACAGGGAAGATGGGAAAACGTAGGGCAGTAAAAGCACAACCATCTACCACAGTACTGAGGTAGCTGTTAGTTATAAACAGGTTACTGTAAAAGTTATGCGTATCTCGTAGCAGAAGGAAAAATTAAAGCTGATTGTTCTTTCCCCTCTGGTTCGAGTCTTGAATTTGGTTATCGATGATGCATGCATGCCCCCGTCTAAGTGGTGAAAATGTGTGTTGATCTCTATTTTTGTATATAAAAAAGAAATTCGAATTCAAAGACTTTTTAAGGTGAATAACGGTGTTAATTAATGCAAATTGAACTGCGATTCATTGATTGATAACAATAGTACTAAAATTAAAATAATAATGCAACATAGATTAAGGAAATTTAGGGCTAGTCTATTATTGCTTAATCTACCCATTAAATCATCATAATAGACAAAGAGACCTGTCAATTGATCATGCTGAGCTCAAATCAACGTTAAATAAGCTGACAGACTCGTCTCTTTTGACAAAGAGTCAAACCCTGTTGCTATGAAGATCATTAGATATCCATATTAAGATAATACGTTCTATCTTAAACCTATTTAGTATGAATTATTCATGTATAATCATCATTTTATAGCTAAAAACATACAAAATGTTTTTTTTATTAATGATTTATAAAACTTATTTCTCTCTTATTAACTATATATCATAAATTTTTATATTTCATTAATGCCATCAAAATCAGCTCTGCAGCTTTTCCATTTCATCAAAACAATTTTTTTTTATACAAGCATTTATACCTTATTTTTTAGATCATCTATTGTACAAAAATAAAAACAAATATTTTTCTATGTTGAAATTTAAAAATCTTTTTTTATTTATTATAATCTTCATTTAAATTTATTAACTTTGTTATTGGAGAATTTATAAATCCCATCAAAAAAATTATTTATCAAGTACTAGAACTTTCATCATGAATTATGTACTCTCTAAACTATATGAAAATAAAAATAAAAAGAACATTTGAGTAATTTATTATTAACCATATTAAATCTTAGAAAATCATCACGTATATATGTCCCCATCGGTATAGACAGTGCCTCTTAATCAAGGATATTAAGGAGTCAGTATCGACTGTCGAACGTGCAGAATATTTTTGTCGCCATAAGTATCTCGTTTTCTTTTTAATGGATGGGTGGCTCGGGCAATTAATACTGCCATTGCAATCGGGATTGAAATTTATTATTATTATTATTATTATTATTTGATATGTAAATAATAAATAGAGTTTATGTTGTCTCACACGGGTTAGATAATTTTATATACGTTACAAGGAATAAAATCAAGTCATTCAAATTGAATTTCCCTCTAGCTTCAGTATTTCAAAGTTTGATCTCAATCACCAATGTGCTGTATCTCATATTTTAAATTAATATGTTTTTAATATTTTTATATTATTTTTAATATCAATATATTAAAAATAATTTTTAAATAATAATAAAAATATTATTTTAATATATTTTATAATAAAAACACTTTAAAAAATAATTATTATTATTACTTTTAAACATTCCTTAAACCAATAATGATTACTTAAAAAATGGTTTCTTTTGTCAAGTTTTTCCCTCTCTGACACTTTAATTATTCTGCCATCCACCGGACCAACACAAATCTTTAAAACGAAGTTAAGAGTAAGCCTTCAGTTTTTCTTTTCACCTGCAAAGCGAAAGCTCGCTAAAAGAGATGAACATTGATCCATTACCGTCAATCTAAAACCCAACATAAACTGAATGGTACTGTATGAGAAGACTCTCTGAGCATTTTGGGATCTTGTTCTTGAGGTGGCTGGCTACTTTCGGTTGACAACGATTCTCCTCCTCAAGGAAGCGTGAAACAAGAGATGACATGACCCTGCTTCCGTAGCTTGTCCGCGGGATGGCCTAGGCTACCTCACAGCCGTGGGCTCCTTTGGAGGACCGTCTGTAGTCTGTACAATAGGTTTAATAGCCCTACTACGATTCTATAGTACGTGTTCCAGGATGGGGAAGTTGTAGCAGTAATGTCTATTAAGAAATAACCATTTTTTTTTTGGTAATAGTTATTAAAACCTAAAGGGCAAAAAGGAAAGGTAAACAAGAGACCATGATAACTTGAAGGGTTCAAGAGGATTTGAACTTTAGCGATCGCACCGCTAACTTTTGAAGACTGCAGTTAAAAGGAGGGCTTGAACTTTCACAGAGAAAGAAAGAGCAGCAACCAGACCAATAATATACAAGTCCATATCCCATCTAATTACGACCTCTTGATTTGTCATCTGCAAGCAAACACATATCAATTTCCGCACAACATAGCATGCCTTGTCAGACTAGCATCTTGCTTTGCTAATCTCGTGAGCATGATGAGATATTTACCGACTAGTCAGTGAAAAGATTGAGAGCGTGATTAACAAAGATTAATAAAAAAAACAAAAGAGATGGCACGTTTACTGCACCTCCTCACAGATATACTATTCACTGGAATGCTTTTTTATTTTTGTTTTTTTATATATTTTATAAAATATATATTCTTTTTATTATTCAACATCAAATCAAGTTTTATGATTTTTTTACAATTTATTTTTTATATAATTATTTTAATTTTATGATTCTTGTTGCATGTTTAGAGTTAATTGATTTACTTCAATTTTTTATTTTCTTGATTTTTATTTTTTATTTTACTATTTAATATTAAATCGATTAAAAATTACCTTTATAATTTTTTTAATTTAATTTTTATTAGATTATGTCAGTTTTATGATTAATATCATGATTTTTACTAATTAAATTGATGATTTATTTTATATTTTTAAGACCATATTAAGACAATGCCCATAGTCATCATTAACAAAACAAAAAAATAAATAAATTGCATGTGAATATTTTAAATTGCATTGTTACAATTAACACAACCTATTAAAACTCAATAAATTAATTAATTGCACCCTTTTAATTACAGATAAATCCGTTAAAAAAGATTTCCATGATATATTTGTTTTTTTTAAGAAAATCAATGATAAGACCGTGTAAAACTGTGCTTGTTTAACCTTTTGGCTTAGAAGGCTAATTTTGTTCTCTGAGTGGGTTGATGATGACACCATTAAATCATCGTGCTTAAACAAATACTCTTTATCAATCCTGAGATTCCATGTGGGTCATGTCATATACATAGGTTTTAAATGAGCATTTTTCAAGCATTATCCGAATGGCAAATATTTGACCATTAAGATTACCAGCATGATTTTGAGGATTTTCTGGGCTTAGAATAAATCTAGGCAAGGAGCAATTAGTAAACGGAAGGCCTTTTCAAATCTTAGGGCAGAGGTAAGGCAAGAGTGGGGGCCTTTCGAACCCTGAATTTGACAAGAGCAAAGCGACCATGACTACGAAAAATAAATTAAAAAAACCATCCAAAAGTAATCCAACAAAACAGAACATAAGCCTCACATGGAAATGAGTCATGGATGATGATGATGATGGAGAATTGTCTAAAGGGGGGCGGCTTGTACTCTACTGATCATCCCATCAATTACTGTTCTTGTGTGGAGATGCTGCTGCTCTCTCTCTCTCTCTCTCTCTTTAATTATGGATCATCAAAGACGACGTCAACAAACAACATGATAAAGCACATGAAAAGGGAAAAAATGTGGGCAAAAAAGCCTCCCCTTCGGCATACTCTTGGCATCTTTGCAGATGTTTTCTCACCAAACCAGCCCCCCCTGGATAAACAAGCCTTAAAGTCCAATTTCGAGCATTCGAGGTTTAAATCTGTGTGTTCAGTTAACACCAACATTACTCTCTTTTACCAAGAAACGACGGGGCTCGTCGATACACAATCTTGATCTCGTGATTTTTTTCCCCCGCTGGATCAGAATGTGATTCTTGGTGCGTAAGGAGCGTGCAGTTGGAGATTTAAGATTCGTGTGTGTGTGTGTGTGTCTATATATATATATATATAGTTGTGTTGTTTGAGGGTCATGTAGATTCTATTTTACAACATCAGATCATGTAAATCTTTATTTATTTATTATGGCTTTTGGAGACAAGCCTTAAATGCTGGACTGTAAATAGTAACTTGTGAAATGGCAGTGCATTAATTTAAACAAAATATCGAAAATAAATTAAAAGTTGGACTTGGATAATTCAATTCAAGCCGTAGAAGATTCATTAAAACCAAACCCAGGTGTAAATTTGACCCATTGGAGAAAACTATCAGCCACCAAAACGTGCGCATTCTAGATATTGTCAAAGAAGAGTGAAACACACGCGCATCGAGAAAAGCACGGGACGGTAATTAACCCGACGGGAGAAAGAAATCTCCCTTTATTATACTTCTTTTCACTTGATGAAAAACCGTAACAATCCTTCTTCTATAAGAGTATTTAGGATATCTTAGATTGTGTTTTTAAATTATTTTTTATTTAAAATATATATTTCAATAATATATATTTTTAATTTTTTTAAATTATTTTTTATATCAATTCATCAAAATAATATAACAAAATTAAATTTTCATAAAATAGTGATTATATGAAAATCACAAGGCTCTGTTTGCTAGGAGGAATGTGGGCAGGGATGTAAAAGGGGATTGAAATGATTTTTCTTCCTATCAATTTTGACAATTCAACATCTCTTTTATCCAATTTTCAAACAATACAATTAAAGATGCAACAAAATCCACAACCTCAATCAATGTAGCAACTAGCAACCACAACCATATGCAAGTACACACATTTAAAAAAAAAAAAAAAGTACACACATTTAAGCCTCATTTGTGGTTTTTTATATAGTTTGGTAATGACATAGTTCATGCTTTTTTCCTACTCCATAAAGAAAACATCGTTTCTTATCAAATAATCTATACTTTTCGCAATTGATCCACAAACAATTTTTTTTCAAACTAGATGCTGTAAAGGCTAAAATAATTTATTTTTTATTTATGAAAATTTATTTTTTTATTTATTTTACATGTAAAAATCTATTTTTTAATAATTTTAACTAAATATAAATTTTTCGGAATTACAAAAAACCTATAATTTTTAAATGGCGAAGACTATCGTAATAATAAACAAACCGCTTTAAACCAAACGGACCTCTAAAAGACTAGAGGTCCACGAACGGTTTCTTCCCTCCTAATTATGATGAGAGGCAAACACCCCCTTAAGCCAAACCGACCTTCACAAGACTAAAAACCCACGAAACAATTTCTTCCGCCCTAATTATTTTATTACCAGTGTTATATGTGTCGTTGCTGACGTGGTGCGTGAGCGAGAGCTGCAATTTCTTAACTTCAATTGTATATAAAAATATTATCCTAAACTCAGCAACCCAGCAAAATTAAAGAAAAAAACAAAAGGAGGAGATTCTCTATTTATTTAATTAAATCTAAATAATCACACAGGGATGCTGACCAATGAACAGAGAAATCTTGAAGTGCAGGTACCCCCTGCCACAGCCACCCAATAAGAGAAGAGAGACAAATTACAACCAATATTATTATAAACCCTAATCCAAAATCCAAATTCCAAGTACTTGAACAGACTTGAACAGAGAGAGAGTATTCAGAGAGAGAGGGTGGGCTACCTTTACTTTAAGTTCTTGAAAGAAAAAAGAAAAAAGAAAACAAAAGAAAAGAGGAGAGACACATGCAGCACCATTTTTATTAAAGAAAGTGGAGAGAGGATAATAATAACAAGAAAAAGAAGAAAGGCAAGGAGAGAAGGTGGTGGTGTTGCTAGGAGAAGTAATAGTGATAGATAGCAGAAGAAGTGCAGAATAAGAGAAGAGAATTAGTAATATTATTATTAATCGAGATGCGTGCACAAAATATTATTAAAAATAAATCTGACAATTCGTCCTCCTCCTCCTTCTCCGTACTCCTCCTATTTCTACTTTTGATCCTCATTTTGCCCAGTATCTAACTCTGTCGCTGTTTTCTTGGATTTTGATTCTTTTTCTTCATATGCTTGAATCGATCTGCGGATGCATTCTTGATGGATCAGGTATCAGTTAGTAAAATATTTCTTGTGCTTCCTTTTGCTGCTGCTGTTTAAGGGGATCTTTTTTGTTGCTATAATGATGTTAACTTTAATTGTGGTGTAAATACTGGTAAACAGGTGTCAGATTTGTGAGTGGCTATTATTTTTCTTGTTGTTAGGATTCCATACCCCTCCCTGGATATATTTTGTGATTCTCGGAGGATTTTCTTAATTTCTTTCTCCTTTCTTTCTTGATTTCTTCTTAATTACATTTAAAATGTCAAAATATCATACAAATTAATCAGTCCCACCTTTTTTTCCTTCTTGCGGGGGTTTCAACTTTAGTCAACTCAGTTCATTTCTTGATTATCTTTCCAAATTCCCTCTAAATTCTCCTAAAGTCAAAGAAGAGTTTTCTTTTAGTAGTGGGGTGTCGTGATTTAAATTGGATTGGTTTTGCTTTCTATGGGAATACCTGATTCTTCTCTATTCTATCTACTACACAAAGTTAGGTCTTGGATTTCTTGGGGAGCAAGTGATCTTTCACCATCTTGTTTGTCTGCTAACTTCGAGATGTCTAATAACGATACCGTCAACATGTGTAGTGAGTGTGATTCAAATAATAACCAGTTTTCTAACGGATACCGTTGCCAAAGTTGTGGTAAGTGGTCATGTTTCAATTGTATGAGAGGGTACCAATCTAATGTTGTGAACTGCAACGGTGATTTTGGGGAGGTTATCAAATACTGTAAGTTTTGTAATGGGGTTACTGTGAAACGTGATGGTGGAAGGAAGAATAATGAGAAAGTACATCCTACTGACTCTCCAAGAGGGAGCCCCGAGCCACCTTCACCTTCTTTTGATGCTGCATCGATCCAGAGTGATCATCTTGCCCACTATCTTGAATCCAGGGATTGTGGGTTTTCTCCTAATACAATAACCTCCAGGAGTATGACTTCTTTTAGTGCTCACCCGTCTCCCGTTTCTGTTCGTCGTTCATCAAGCAGGTAATAATTCTCAAGCACCCCGCACCCTATTGTTTGATTAGAATTTACATGCTATACCTGTATTTTTTAGTATGGTGTCAGTTTTCCCTTATCTGTATTTTTTTTTCTCCGTAGCTGATGGATCTCTACATGTATGTATTCAATAATGCAGGAGTGATGAGGACGAAGCAGGGGATTCTGGGAAGCTCTTTTACAGCCCATTGAGTGAGTACTCTCATGATATTTCGGGTATAGATTCAACTAGTGTTAGTGCCAGGCTTGAGTTTTGCAATTGTAAGTCAGTGGGATCGAGTCCTTTAGACAGCCCGTCTAGGATTGATTTTAGTTCCTATAGAGTTGGGCATACTGTACAGAGGGGGCGAGAAGGAAGCTCATTGTCTCAAAGTGACGGTCCCTTTGATAAAGAAAATATGGTAATTTTAAGAAGGCCTGATAAAAGGACCGAGGATCCAGAGAATGCTGATGATTACTCTGATGATGTGTCAGTGTTGAGGGATCACTATGACAAGTCCCAAAAGCCACTGGATTTTGAAAGCAATGGTCTTATCTGGTTTCCCCCACCCCCCGAGGATGAAAATGACGAAACAGAGAGTAGTTTCTTCACATATGATGACGAAGATGATGATATCGGGGATTCTTCTGCAATTTTCTTACCAAGTAGTAGCCTCTCTTGTACGTTTCCATCAAAGGAAAATCAGAATGAGATTAACAAGGACCCTCTTAAAGCTGTGATACAGGGGCATTTTAGGGCTCTTGTAGCGCAGCTTTTACAGGGAGAAGGTATCAAAGCCAGCAAGGAGGAAACCAATGAAGAATGGCTTGACATAGTCACAACAATTGCATGGCAAGCTGCGAATTTTGTAAAACCAGATACCAGCAGAGGAGGCAGTATGGATCCGGTTGACTATGTAAAGGTTAAATGTATAGCATCAGGAAATCCAAGTGATAGGTATGCTTTTCTTTATGTTCTGCAGGTGGTTTATCTCCAAACTCTCCACGCCATTTTCATGCAAATAATGCCATTTCTTTTTAAGCTGTGGATATCTTTTGCGCTTGCAGCACTCTTGTAAAGGGGGTAGTTTGTACAAAAAATATAAAGCACAAGCGCATGACCACACAATACAAAAATCCCAGATTACTTCTTCTAGGAGGAGCGCTTGAATATCAAAGTGTTGTGAATCAGCTGGCATCTTTCAATACATTAGTGCAAAAGGTACATTTGTCGTGTGTAAATTTCTTTAGCTTTAAGAAGATTTCAAGATTTATTGGGATGGGGATTTAAACATTAATCTTTGATGCAGGAAAATGATCATCTCAAGCTGATCATGTCGAAAATAGAGGCTCTTCGCCCAAATGTTCTTCTGGTTGAGAAAAGCGTATCTCCATTTGCCCAAGAATATCTATTGGGAAAGGAAATTTCCTTGGTGCTTAATGTGAAAAGGCCTTTACTGGCACGTATAGCTCAGTGCACTGGTGCTTATATTATTCCATCGTTTGAGAATATTTCTACCACACGACTGGGACACTGCGAACTATTCAGGGTAGAGAGAGTGTTTGAAGAACATGAGACTAGCAATCAGTTCAACAAAAAGCCATCTAAAACATTGATGTTTTTTGAAGGGTGTCCAAGGCGTTTAGGTTGCACGGTTTGTAATCAAACCCTAAATTATTGTTAGTTTTCATTGAATTTGCATTTGGCTTGATTAGGTTCTAAAATACATAGAGATGCACCTTGTCAACTCAAATTGTCATTACTGGTCTGTGCATTGAATTTTACCCCTTTTCAATCTCTGGAAATGAAGGTTTCTTTGGCTTGTGTTTGCTTGCGCTCTAAACTTGTGTAGCAATGCATTCAGTTGCATAAAGTCAATATTGTCCACGATCTATTAAACATTCAGCTTTGTGCGTTCCATATAATTTAACATCTTTGGTAGATTCCTTCAACGAGAATAGTTAGGGAGAGAATGTGACCTGTTTTTGGTTTAAGATTTCTTTATATATACTCTTGTGGAAGAATCTGATACCTAGTCAACTTGAGCAAGTGCACGAGTTTCCTAGATAGGAACTTCTCTCTCTGAACTTTTGTCCATTTAGGTGCAAGCCATATTACTGGGGTTTTGTGGACCATGGCACTGAGAAAAAATAAGATGTCTGCTACATATTTCGGCTGTCCTATGCTGCAGGGCTCAAGGATAAATGCTGCACTTCCCGGGCATTTTGTTGTCAACTATGTGTAGACTGTTGATGCATTGAATAAGTGAGAAAAGGAAGTATGCTGCTTTCGTCATGTTGGTTAATGATTTGTTAATTTTGAACGGTTTAGTCATGCATGGACTAATTCTGCTTCATTGTCACATGAGAGTTGCATCATACTTTTGAAGCAATTTGCTACAAGTTTAAGTTTGGATCTTCATATTTAAAATACTTCTTCAAACACCCAAAAAGTTGCTTTTATGTTCATTTTTCTGTTGATTACTCTGATGCAGACAAGCTACATGCCACCATTTTGTCTCACTGTAATTCTCTCATAATTGCTTTATGACCCTACATTGTCATCTTAAGATTTGCGAAGAGAAAAGTTTCAGAATTTGGTTTTGATTTCTTATTAGGTTTGTGTGGTCCATATTTTAGGTCCTGCTGAGGGGTACATGTCGTGAAGAGCTAAAGAAGGTTAAGCATGTTATTCAATATGCTGTTTTTGCTGCCTATCACTTGTCCCTTGAGACTTCTTTCCTTGCTGATGAGGGTGCAAGTCTTCCTAAGCAGACAGTTAGACCCTTGATTGCTATTCCTGAGAGGACAGCAGCAGATGAATCCATTTCAGTTATATCTCCAATAACTCACCATGCTGAAGTTGCTTTGTCTGCTCAAGATAATGATGGATCACTGGGTGTTAAACCAGAGCATGAAGGATCAGAATCGTTGACTGGGGACCTTGATGCTGGTGTCATTCCTCCCTTATCTCCACATTCTGTCACTTGTAAGTCCGGAAATGAACTCTCTATGGCATACCTTGGTGATTTAGTGTCGGATGTGGGAAGATTGGATTCATTTTCCATAAGTCAATGTGAGGGTCTAAAGATTTCTGTTGTGCCTCCTCCTGGTATCAATAGTCTTTCACTACCAGAACTACAAGATATGATGGCTCAAGAGGGGGGGCAACATTTGGAGGCTCGTGAGTTAGTACAACCTGAGAAGATTGATGAAGATGAAGTTTCCAGTGAATACTTCTCTGCCACTGACACATACCAGAGCATATTAGTATCATTTTCAAGCCGTTGTGTGCTGAAAGGAACTGTATGCGAACGCTCACGGCTTCTGCGCATAAAATTCTATGGATCTTTTGATAAGCCACTTGGAAGATATCTTCGTGATGATCTGTTTAATCAGGTGACTTGTCATAGGTTTTGTTTGTCCTTTCTTGTATGACACCTGTTACATATCTGAAGCTTATATTTTAATGGGTTTGCTGTCACCAGAAATCATGCTGTAAGTCATGTAAGGAGCTAGCTGAAGCACATGTTCTGTGTTTCACTCATCAGCAGGGCAATCTTACAATCAATGTTAGATCCCTTTCTTCTGTAAAACTACCTGGAGAACGTGATGGTAAGATATGGATGTGGCACCGATGCCTAAGGTGTGCTCACATAGATGGAGTCCCGCCAGCAACTCATAGAGTTGTTATGTCAGCTGCTGCCTGGGGACTTTCTTTTGGAAAGTTTTTGGAACTGAGCTTTTCAAACCACGCAACTGCCAATCGTGTTGCACCCTGTGGTCATTCATTGCAGAGAGACTGTCTTAGATTCTATGGGTAAATTTTTGTAGTCATGGAATTATTATTATTGTTGCTGCTGCTGCTGTAGCTGTTGTTGTTGTTCTTCTCTCCTGTGTTGTTGGTAATCACGGAAAAGTCTCCTCTCACAGGTTTGGGAGCATGGTTGCGTTCTTCCGGTACTCCCCTATTGATATTTTGAATGTCCATTTGCCACCTTCAGTGCTTGAATTCAACAGCACCATTCAGCATGAGTGGATAAGGAAAGAGGCATCTGAGGTGCTTTTTAAGAATCCAGGCTTGCTTTAAATTGGTTTATTGGACTGATCTAATGTGGAACTGATATTTTGAACCTTTTTTCTATTTTACACAGCTCTTGGGCAAAATGGAAACCTTCTATGGTGAGATATCTGGTGTGCTTGACAGCATGGAACAGAGAAGTAAATATTTTGGAGGTGAATTGTCAGATACCAATGAGTTACAGAGTTACATCATGGAGCTGAAAGATCAACTCTTGAAGGAAAAGGATGATTACAATGTAAGCACATGCTTAGTTATTAGATCATTCCCTTGGAAAGTTAGTGTTAGTTCTTTAGATCTTTAGAGCATTATCATCTGACATTTATCGTCTAATGTTGTTGTCACCCTGTTTATCCTTGTGCATAATGTTTTCAAATTTCAAGTGATGAATCTTCTAATCAGTCCCCTTGATAACAGGTCATGCTACAACTGGCTGTTATGGAGAGTTCAGATCAGACTGTCGTTGACATTTTAGAACTCAATCGCTTAAGACGTGCTCTTCTAATTGGTTCTCATGTTTGGGATCAGAAGCTTTTTTCACTGGACTCTGTCCTTAAAACAAATTCTCTCATTAAGGCTAAAGAAGGTGGGGTGTCTTATACTGAGCTCAAAGATTTCAGAAATGATATATTTTGCAAGGATAGCAAGTTTGACCGTGATCATGAAGAAAATATCTCTGGGTATTCAAAATCAAAAGAGATTGTTTGGAATGATTTTCAGTCAGAGAAGAAAGAAACAAGTCCTTCCTTCGAAATTTTTTTACCTGAGCATTCATTGCTGCCACTTCATCATAACACAGAGGATGAAGTGCACGCAGATGGGGAAACTGTGAATAAGACATTCTTTAATGACATCCCTTCCCATGCATCCAATCTCTCTGACAGAATTGATTCTGCATGGACAGGTACCAATCAACTTCCAATTAAAGTTCAACCTCTACATGCACCGCAGGCAGAGGCAGATGGATTCCAACCTGGGTCTGTCAGGCAGCCAAATTTGTATGATAATCCTCCTTTTAGAAGGATGATGGCACCATTGAGAGTTCATTCTTTTGATTCTGCATTGAGAGTCCAAGAAAGGATTCAGAAAGGGTTGCCTCCTTCATTGCATTTGTCAACTATCAGATCATTCCATGCATCTGGAGACTACAGGAGTATGCTGAGAGATCCTGTTTCAGTGATGAGGACTTATTCCCAGACATTGCCACTGGAAGCACAGAAGTTGAATTTAATTCCCAATTCCACGGGCACCTTGATCTCTTCTGCTGCTAATATGGCTGGAGGAGCTCGGTTACTGCTACCAATGAGGACCAGCAGTGATATAGTTATAGGTGTGTATGACAATGATCCTGCAAGTGTAGTTTCATATGCCCTCAGTTCCAAGGAATATGAGGATTGGGTTACTGATAGTTCAAATGAGAATGGAGGAATCTGGAGTACATTTGAGCGGAGTAAAGAAGCTTCTGCAGCTTCCTCTTTTACAGCCTGGCAGTCTTTTGGTTCTGTGGACTTGGATCATATCAGTTATGGAGGTTATGGGTCTGAAGATCCTTCATCATCCTTGGGTAACTTGTTTATGGTTTCAAAAAAATCTCCACATCTGACAATTTCTTATGGGGATGATTCTTCCTTTGCTGGAGGCAAAGTGAAGTTTTCTGTTACTTGTTATTTTGCGAAGCAGTTTGACTCTCTTCGGAAGAAATGCTGCCCTAGTGATGTAGATTTTGTTCGTTCACTGAGTCGCTGCCAGAAGTGGAGTGCTCAAGGAGGGAAAAGCAATGTATACTTTGCCAAGTCATTGGATGAGAGATTCATCATAAAACAAATAAAAAAGACCGAGTTGGAGTCCTTTGAGGAATTTGCACTGGAATATTTCAAGTATCTGACTGATTCTCTCAAATCAGGGAGCCCAACTTGCTTAGCAAAAATTCTTGGTATTTATCAGGTTAGACTTTCGTCCTTTGCTTTTATGAGAATATACTACATGCATAGGTAGGGGATACTGGGTACTACATGCATGGGTAGGGGATATTGGGTGTAGGGGTGGAGTACATGTGATTTCTGGTGATTCTTACCTGATTAGTTTGGTGGCAGGTTACTGTAAAGCACTTGGGAGGTGGCAAGGAAACAAAAATGGATTTAATGGTGATGGAAAACCTCTTTTTTAACAGAAATATTGCTAGAGTTTATGATCTTAAGGGCTCTTCTCGATCCCGCTATAATCCAGACACATCTGGGCCCAACAAGGTCTTACTTGATATGAATCTGGTGGAAACACTGCGTACAGATCCCATATTTCTTGGAAGTAAGGCAAAGAGAAGCCTTGAGAGAGCTATATGGAATGACACATCATTTTTAGCGGTAAGCTTTTTGTTTAGCATCTTACCACTGTAAACATGAAAAGGTTTTTTCGCATTTGGTCTTTTATACTCATTTATGGTTGTGTTTTGATTTTTTCAGTAATTGCAACAAGCTTAGAATATTCAGTTTCTGAAATTCAAATCTAAAAGCAGTAGCGGCCTGAAAGACCTGGACTTTTGTTTGCATGAACTATCACCTTCCCCTCTCCGTTCATTAATTGAGACGTTCTTTATTTCTTTAGATAATTACATGATTTGTTTCAAGCAATCAAGGTTTTCAGTTAACGTGTTAATTAAAAAAAGCGTTATGGTTTTCTTTTGGTGATATTTAATATTAAGCACTTGGAACCTTGTACTTTTCTAGCTAGAAATTTGCATTAAAAGGTTTCCAAAGTCTCGCTTTTAATTGACAAAACTGAAATAAGTCATGATTGGCTTGAAAACAGAATGATGTTTGCCGTTATGAAGTCATGGCTGCATCACTTGAAAAGTTGGAAACCTAAAAGTTATTTTCAGTTTCGCTGTTTAGATACTTTCGTTCTTTTTTCCTCTTCTTTTGTTTTGAGAACCCTGCCAACCATTTTCTCTCTCTAATTTATTATCTTGCTTGAGCTAGGAAATGATTAACTTTTTTGGGCATTCCATCGATATCTTTCTTATAATTGTTTTTCCCATTTCGCTGTGCTTTTCCAGTCTGTTGATGTTATGGACTACTCTTTGCTCGTTGGAGTGGATGATGAGCGGAAGGAGCTGGTTTTAGGTATCATTGATTTCATGAGACAGTACACATGGGACAAGCATTTGGAGACGTGGGTCAAGGCATCTGGAATCCTCGGCGGTCCAAAAAATGCTTCCCCAACAATTGTTTCTCCAAAACAATACAAGAAAAGATTCCGAAAAGCAATGACTTCATACTTTCTCACAGTTCCTGATCAATGGTCTTCATGAACTGAATCATTGCATTCTTTTCATTCATAATCATTTGTTCATTAATAAGGCAATAGGATTATAGTTAGAGAGATGAGGGGGAAGGATGCAATCCAGTCCCAGCAATGTTTTTTCCTTTTGTTTTTTTGGGTGAAATCTTGTATACGAGGGAATAGAAATTCCTTGTAGAGAGGTCTTTGTACATCTTTTTATACATGTGCAATTGTCACCTCGAAGAAGAAACCTCAAATATACTTTGTACTATGATCCTTTTCCTTTGATGGCAAGAATAGCTGGTAAACTTGATATCCTTGTCGGTAAAAGTCAAAATCAATTTAGACATTCTCTTATTCAGATTCTCTCTTATGTTAGAAAGAAAATGTTTCCAATATCTTTAAGACATGAGAAGTGATATGATTTTTAATGTCCATGTGTTAGGTAATAGCATGATATGATCTCTACCTGACATTTAGGGAAACATTGCAGTTGTTGGTGGACTGTTTATTGAAAGGGAAGCTTTACAAGCCTTCAAACTAAGATGGGGTGCAGAAAGTCCTCAAAATGAGTTTTTCAGTGTTCACCTCAAAGTGTTAAATTTAATTCTTCTCAAGTTGAATGTTGTTTTTGTCTTAAATTGTGGGTTTAAATAATTTAAAAAAAAAAAACTTGTATGTTTGGTTTATATAAAAATTTAGGTAATATTTATTTGTGAGTATTTTTGTTCTTTATATTTTGATAATTTAAAAGAAAAAAAATGAGTATTTGGTTATTTTAGAATTTTAGATGAGAGTTCAAAAAATATGAACATTATTGTAATTTTACTTGTTATTTTCCTTTCTTCTAAACAGTCATTCGGTTTACCCAAAACGTGAAGATATTAGATTTATATTAACTTATTTGCACTGAAAAATATTTATTTTCTTTTAAAAAATAAAATATATTTTTGGATTTTTTTAAATTAATTATTTGATTCCATATATATATATTAAAGAGGTTTTTTAAAAGTGCAGTAGTTGTTATTTTTTAAAGTGTTTTTTGATTGAAAATGTATTAAATAATATTTTTTTTATTTTTAATATCAACATATCAAAATAATCTAAAAATATTAAAAAAAACCAAATTTTTATAAAATGCTTTTTGAAACGTAATTTCAATCTGTGCCTGATATTTTGAGGGATTAGTCCAAAATGTTTAACATTGGTCATCACTTATGAATTAAACCTAAATTAAACTACGGAAAATAAAATTACTATGAATCTCTTAGTTCCATCATAAATTGAAAGGACTAGAAATATTTTGAGAACTTAATTTTTATATACAAAAACTGATGCGAGGATATATGCATAAACACTAGTTAAAACTGAAAAAGAAAATATTTTTCTCACGATATATATTTTATTAATTTCATTTTTGTATTGTTTTATACTTACCTTGCTGAATGATTTCTATTGCTAATAAAAGTGATCGTTTGCAAAAATTATAAAATATAAGTTTGTAATTTTAATTAAGAAAAAAAAAAATTAAACTCAAGCTATATATACGTATATATACCGTGGAGTCATTGCAGAATTTTTCGTAAAATAATTTACAGGCAAAGGTTACATCTCTCAGTACTCTAAGCACATCCTCAAGACCTCAAAGCTCCTTGGTTCTATGTACAAAAACAAGAACGAGGTCCGTGAGAATCTGCAGGGGCTGAAGTAGAGGAAATGCGATTAGCTAGGTTATGTTCTCTCGACCACCTTCATAATTAATCTGTATAGATAAAACTGCTTTTGCTTCACGACCACTATATATATATATATTTGGATCATTTGCTAATAAGAAGCCACAGCTATTTGCGTCTCTCCTTCATTGACTGGCAGGAAACTCACTCGCTTCTGTAAAACATTGAATAAATTAATAAATAAATAAATAAATAAAGAACATGCATATTAATCGATTCACGGTTCACATATTTAGACTGTTTTCAGTGAAGATGCAAATATCTGTGGCTTCTTTTATATATATATATATACACAAACGTGCCTGCACGTATATATTCACAAGTTCCAAAAGGAGAAATTAAAGAATGACCAGTTGCATTTGATAATCAAGTCAATATGAATTTTGTTTGGAGAGACTGTGATATACAATACTAAGAAGTAATGCATGGCGCCATTAACAACAGGCTAGCCTTTGGAATTTAAAATTCTTAGTCCGTGATATTATTATATTAATAGAGGCCTGTCGTTTTACATGGCTAGGTTAATTTCTCTCTCAAATATACAGAAAAAGCAATATGTGGTCAGTATACATTAAACAACTTTCTTTAAAAAACCGCTACCAATTTATATTATACTAACAATATTGTATGCAGGAAACCAGTTCGAGACCCAACTTTTCTCCCATGAACGAAAATGTCTTTGACTAGGCACGGCAATTTTGGACCATTAATTAGAGTTGGTAAACGAGGTGTCAAAATTGACCGAACATATTTTGTGAAATATTGGCAGTTATTTATTCTTTAAAAAGCTGGAATCCGAGGCTCTCTGTTTTAATGTATTTTTTTAATTAAAAATAAATTAAAATAATATTTTTTGATTTTTTTTAATTTTTAATGTTAACATATCAAACCTATTAAAACACATCTAAAAAATTATCAATTTAAAACCTTTTCAAATAAAAAACAATTTAAAATTAAAAAAAAAAAAGCACTTTCTTTATATGTGAGTCAGGCTAAAAGGTGCAACCCCAGTATTTTTTATGCCCTTACCATCATCTATCGTCATGAAAACCTCAAAAAATAATAAAATGGATTATGGAAATATTAAGTAGAAGAAGAAAGAAAAGGTAATATATAAAGTAATAATTAAATAGTTTTTCTTTCTAAGAGATAAAAAACTGTGCAGGTTATGTCCTCTATTAAAAACCGGAAAGGTTTTTAACTGCTTGAAACTTAACATTGTTGCATTGCTAGATCAGGCTGATTGTAAGGAAGCCAAGTCCTTGGAAACGTTGGCTTGTTTGCTTAAGAAAAAAGGCGTTACGACCTACACGCACACACAAGCCATGTGGAACTAAGGTCCTTAAAGTTCATATTGCCCACAAATTAAGAGTCGATCGTTGAAGATCCAGACAAAACACATGGTCTCAAGCCCAAACATGAAACTCATATGTTGAGCGAAGAAATACATATTGTCTTGATTTATACACCTGCTTAACACTGTGATACTTGAGATGTATTGTCAATTATAGCAAGCTCATTTAATTATTAATCTAATTCCCTAGCCGAAAAATGTCGAATTAGCAGAATTGTTATCATAGGAGCAACAAGTTTCAGTCCAAACCTCAAGAAAATAAGCCTACCTCGATCATATTGCGCTCCAATGATCTTTTCTAATTTTAACTCAAACTTCTCTACCCAAATTAAGAAGTCTATAGCATGTACACTATTTTATTGCGTAGTTTCACAGGGAAAAAAAATGTTCGGAACGAAAGTCAAATTTTGGTTGAAAATACATGAATAGAACCGGCTCGCAACATGTAGTCACAAACAACATGAAGCCACAAACTTTCAATTAAAAGTTAATATTAATTAGCTAGATCCTTAATTAAGAACTTGAAAGATTCTGCTAACCGACCTCAGGAAAGTCCCCCGTCCACTTAATTATTATTATTATTATTATATCTATACTGGGTCCGTTGCTCGAAAGAGTTAGCATTTGCAAGTAATCAAACCTCATGACATGAAACAAAAAAATGTCAAATCCCCCCCCCCCCCAAAAAAAAAAAAAAAAAAAACTTCTAATCGAGACCTCGAGTTCGTAAAAATATGTGTATATAAAAAAAAAAAACTAATGTCGAGAGGGTTAAAGACAAACACCATGCCACAAAATCAAGATTAATGTCGAGAGGAACATACCTCACGTGCCTTGATGATACCTTGGCTGCTGACTCTCCCATGGCCACTCTTCCAATGAACTTGTTGCTGCAACAACGCACTCTCTTGACCATTTTGTGCAATCTCACGAGAGCTATTATTGCTGCCACCTGCAGTGTTTGCCATGCAGAGATCCACAATCTTAGCAGCTGCCTCAGTCTCATCTTTACTTTCTTGCATCAACCTCTCCACTTCTGCCTTCGGTAATCTCATCTTCACCCTCATTGCACCACTTTTTGCCTCCTCGGCCGCAATGCTAGCAGGCTTCATTATCGAGAGATCAGATGTTGATCTCCTAGAGTGCATCAGGCTTTCGAGCCTGTCTTCAGCACTCATGGTAATCCCTGAACGAACTCTTCTTGGAACTTTCTCAGTTGGAGTATTTGGTAGCTCTACTAGGAAGTAAAGCCTTTTTGGCACCAAGTCTTGGTGTGCTTCCAATGGCTTTGCCCTAATGCCATAATGCTTAACGGCCTCTGATTCTAGCAAAACATGCCCTGGATAGTCCTTAACTACCTCCCCAGCCTTCACTGGTGTCTTGAACTTGAATGTCTCACCACTTATCTTCATGACTTTTGCAGTCTTTTTCCATCCCAAACTGTTGCCCATACTTAATTTCTCTCTTAAATTTGAACACACAATGAACAAATGAACCCCTTAATCAAGGAGATCAATGCTCTTTAGTGTATACTTTATATTAGTAGGAATTATAAAGCTGACAAAGGGGCGCCTGTATGGTGGGTGTGAGATAAGGACGCATGGATTTTTGGGTAGCTGTTAATATTATAGTCAATGAAGAAGGCAAGGTTTTAAATTGAAAGAGGCCGAAGTTTGACAAATGGAGAAAAGTGCGTCTAGTCTCGCTTTCTATCCAAATACCAACTAAACGGTTTTTTTTTTTTTTTCAGCTTATATATATATATCAGCTTAGGTGCCATGGAAAATGTATTGCTGGATAGCTAGCTAGTAACCTCCAAAATACCCGTGATGGGTGGATAAAAATAAGCACGATTACATAATCAAACTCTTGTTTTGTTCTTTGAAACGAATATTAATTAACGTTAATCACGGCGCTGTTTCAATTCTTTTCGTTGAGTTTCAACACCATTCGTGTGAAAATTGACTCGGTAAGAATACACTAATTTATCATGGCCGAGTTCTTCTAATTTTTTGGATGATAAATAATTTTTTAGGGAGACCATAACTCTCTTTCTTTTCTTTTATTTTTGGTCTTCCAAGCTAATCTAAAAAAAAAAGTTAGCATGCATAAAATTTTGTTTACCAAATTTAATTAATTAACACGTTTAATAGGTAAGATAACTATATTTAAAGCAACTTGAATGTGAATCGTGGGCCAAGTCCAAATTGATTGTCGGCTCATCAACTTGGACGTGGCTATTTCTTTCAGGGGTATCTTCAACAAAGTTCCTTCTTCTGAACATGTCCTCGTTAAACTGGTAAATTTTACGCTTAATAATCTACAGTCATCCCATCTTGTCGTAAATGAACGCCGACAAAATATACCTGGCTTTAATTTTAACACCAGTTGTTTTGTTTTGACTGGGCTTCAGGTTGCATCCATATTCTTTGCCATACTATACCGTATGGATGAAGTTTCTAGGCAAACCAACCTTAAAGTGATTAGGGGATTAAATTTTTTTTTTATTACTAATGAAAGCTTTTGTATCAGTTTGTATATATTTTCATTAATTTTATAAATTCCAAAATTAATAATTATATAAGTTTTTAATAACTTTGAAGGAATTCAAACTCATAATTATTAAAAAATTAAATATTTATTATAGCCATAAGTCTTTTTTCATCTCTCAGATTATTTTTCATTTCTAAAATTCTAGGATTTGAAAAGAATTTTATATTTAAATCACTAAAAATTTTATAAAATCACTTTGTTCCAGTTAAGAATTGTGTTATGTATTATCTAAATTATACCATAAAGATTTAAAATCTACACAAACATACCACTTATTTTTGCTGAAAATCTTAATTTTATATAAAAAAAAATAAGAATAACAGGATTTGAATCTGTGATTCTTTGATTGACCTAACTTAATTTAATCCTATATAAAAAAAATCTTAATTCAAGTTGTGAAGTGATACATAAAATATCTTTATATTTAAAAGGCATATGAATTGTAATATAACACATTTCACTATAATTAGATGGACTAGATACCGTTTCATTGGCTACTTTTTAACCAGGAAAATAAATATTTGTATTTTATGAGAAAAATAAAAAAAGAAAAAAGAAAAATACTAGTATAATTAGTTCTCAAGTAGCAAAGAAATTAAGAAAAGAAAAGGAAATAGCTAGAATTACTCGAGACACTAAGTGTGAACACGAGCTGAGAATCTTGCAAAAATGACAAAAATGGTTGTTGAAGAGACATGGAAAACGAAGACGATAGCTAGAGTCATTGAGTAGTACGCATCCGCACCTTGCTCGACAACAAGAAATAAATAGATAAAACAGAGACATAAACGTTAGCATCATACTTATCTCAAACAGCAACCATTGCATGATCGTGGTCCTATTTTCTTCGGTCAACAACACAAATCGAACCATATACTTCACCTTTCTAGCTCACCAGGAATTTCATGGTCATCTATCACCTGTTTCTGGCAGCACCTGCACCATAAACCTTTTTGGCTCGTTTTCTGATGCCCTCGCTTGCTTTTCTCCCACCTGGGTCAAAGTTGTAGACGATATAAATTGATGAGAGTTTTACCTGTAATATTACAGGGTGTTTTTGTTTAATTTTTTGGATGATTTGTTTTTGTTTTTGTTTTTGTTTGGGTTCAATAATCTTTTAATTTCTTTTTTAAGAAGTTTAAAATGTAATTATCAGTCTCCTTTTTATTTAAATTTAATATTATTTTTATTACATTTTTTAATCATAAATGGAGAAGTTTCAGCTATTTATTACGTTAATTTGTTGATCATTTGTCAAAAAACTTAGGTGCAAATTATATATATATATATAATTAAATTAACTAAGAACTATATGTGCTAATGAATAAATAAATAATTATTACAATACCTAAAAATTGAACTTGAAATTTTAAAAAACATGTGTAAATCAAGATATGTAATCTTATAAAATGAGGCATTTATTTAGTAAAGTTTGTTAAATTTTGTTTATTACAATATTTCTTTTATTCAAGTCTTTTTTTAATAAAAAGAACTAAAAATTAACAAAAATGAACTTGAACTTGAAAAATATTAAGGTAGTGAAATTATATAATTTATATTATTTTTTAAATTTAAGGACTAGAATGTATTTTTTAAAAAGTTAGAACATGTCATTCATATTTGATGTTTTTTTATTGAAGTCTTTTTTTTTTACTATTTTATAAAAAATCAAATTCAATTGATCTTTAATTAAAACTAAAACTGCATCATTGGAAAAAAAAATACTTGAAGAATAAATTGAAAAAATAAAAAGTTTTACATAATATGGATCATGAGATCATGCAGAGTGAAAGACACATGTATTTTAGTTTCATATATAATAACCGACACTAACTCAATCAAACTGAAAAACAGTAAAGGAACTCAAATCGAAACAATTCACGACCTATTCTGCTCGAGGAACTCATAAACTGACAAGAACTTTCCATTCGCGATGGAGCTCACAGTGTTGCAAATGGGGTTCCTGACGAGGACCTTGGAAAGTAGTTTCAGAGTCTTGAAAGCATATAACATGCATGGTAAAACTGGTTCTTTTCCATTTTCCCCTGTGTTCTTGTGATCTAAACCCCAGAAATAATGCAATCAGGGCAGTCCATTGGTACAGTTATAGGCATTCCCTTTTTTTAACACAGCCTATAAACCCATATCAATTGCTGAAAATAAAAGAAAACGTTTACATTTATCCTTACAAATGCAAAGATTAATCCTCCTGCTGTGTCCAAGGCATCACTTGTAATGCAAAAGAGGCAGTATGGGCCAAAAATTATTTTGACTCATTAGACATTGCTTCTTCAAAATCGTTGCCAAATTTAGTCTTTACCCCCTGCATGCAATACCTAACAACTACTACTACTAGTGATGCGACCAGGATAAATAATAGACTAATGTTGTCAATTTTGTTCATTTTCATTTCATTTCGAAAGATAGATATATTTCGATGTAGTTCAGAAAAATAGAATAAACTGGAAAAAAAGTTAATCTCATTTAGAATCTTGACTTATTGAAATTCTGCCCCGGAGAGTTCTGACCAAATAGAATTTTTTTAAAATTTATATATTTTTTTAATTTTAATTTTTAGCACTTGATTTATTGGCTTTTAACTTTATAATTTATTATGATTTTTTTTTATGTTTATCTCTATCTTATAATCTATATCACAAGTTTGATAAATTAACTCAGTTAACTCGATTTTTTTAAATTAATTTTTATTTTACAATTTCATCATTCAACATCTTAAATATTTTAAACCTTGTCATTTGTTTCGGTTTGTTTTTATAAAATTATCTTACTCTCATAATTCGAGTTATGAATTCCACAAGTTAACCCGAGGATACTTCAATCATTTTATTATGTCTTTTTTTTTATATTGTATTTTTTTTTAATTTTATCATTTATCAATAAATTTATTAGGAGGTAAACTTTATAATTTTTTTAACTTTTTATTTAAAGTTATTATGATTTTATAATTTAGATCGCAGATTTAAATAATTAATTCAAGTTTATCCATATCGCTCCAATATATCATGTTTCAATATTGTTTAAACAAATATATCGCTTTAAAATTTTTTAAGTTAAGTTATATTGTTTATATTGTTATTAGTCATCCAAGATATCAAATTATATCAATTCAATTCCCTTTTTTTTTTAATTGAATAATTTTTTAATTGAATAATTTAAAGTTAGTTTATCTTTGAATTTAAATTTAAATTATATATGTTAAATTAATATTTTGAATTATATATATTTATATAAAAGCCAGAAAGGACAGAAACCAAAATATGTCATTCAAATTATATATATATATATATATATAAAAAAAAAACAAAGAACCACCCAGAACAGAGTTGCCAAGCTTGCAATAAACAATCGAAATTGGCAGTTTATTTTTGACATTGGCAATATGAAAAACATCGCGCATGAACATAAGCTTCAGTTCAGACCCATGCTAAAAGATCAAACAGGAAAGCAATGTAAAAATTTCCATGACAAAACACGATCAATTGTTTTTTTTTACACACATAAAAAAGGAAACAATACACAGAGAGCAATGAGAATGGCTTTGTATCTCATGCTCGTATCCTCAGTTTTCACACTATGATGAAATTGTGCGGCAATCATTGTAAAATAATAGGGGAACAAGGTTAAGAAATAAAAAATAAAAAAAATAAAAAATGCGTCTCCATACAGTTAACTACCTCTGTTAGTTCTGTTGTAGCCTCCGAAGATGTTCCAACATTGAAGTAGCCTTTCGCTTCGCCCTCTCTGTACCATTTTTAGCAAGCTCCGTCAAAGGTATGACAGCACCAAGTCTACTTATACAGGCAAGATTCTCAGGATCTCTCTTGCACAAGGAGAGCAAAATGGCTGCTGCATTCTCTTTGTTGCGGGGCAGTCCTGTCCTCAACAAATCTATCAGAACAGGTATAGTGCTGGCTTTTACTATAGCAACCTTTGCTTCTTGGTTGCTAGCTAGAACTGACAGAATAGTCAATGCCTCGTCAACC